AACTTTCCAATAATCTTAAATTAACAATAATTACAATTAATTAGTTGAGATAAAAAAGTCAATGGCACGAGCGGGGTTCGGACACCAAATTCCCAGCTTTACCGCACCTTTTGAAATTTCTCTCCTTTTTGCCATTTTTCAAATGTCGTGTAATCGGGTTGGATTCTCGACGACAAATGAAATGGCCACGGAGAACTTTAGTGAAGTATACTTCATTTTTAATCATTAAATTCACTAATTTCGTGGTCCGCTTGACCAATTAAGACAAGCGGACCACGAAATTAGTGAAATTAATAATAATGTTTAAAATTCTTGTTAAATTGATAGAGATGTTTTTCATCAAATAATTCTCAATTGTAGATTTATTATGTTATAAATGAAAGAGTTTTATAACGCTAACATATGAATTTTAGTTTTGAGATAAGGGAAAAGTATGAGATGAGTTAAATTTTTATAAAGTGCAAGGCAAATATATTAGTCACATTCGAGCTTGAGATTAGCCCGTTTTGCTCTCTTAACGATATCACTGCCATGAATTGAATAAATGTCAGCTTATGGAAAATCACTTAATTTAAAAAACTCTATAAGATGAGAAAAAACAGCGATAAGATATTTTTGGATTAAAATAAATTAATAATAATGGTCCTCCAAGGGAAAAAGTGATCACATTGACTAATCTACACAACGTGAAAATAAAACTTCAAAACCTCAAAACTATTATTTTTTAATCGACATATTTGCGACTATGCTTTTGTCTGACTCTAAAAGATATAAGTTTTTTAAGTTGATAAAGAGTTTGAAGATAGTAAAGAAAAACCTAGAAATATCAGAAACTGAACTCATTGTGCAATCTCAGTAAAATAACTAATTATATGAATGTTGGCGTTATATGTGATTGCATTATAAGAGTTTGCAAAAACTGGAGAAAACAAAATATAATTAAATTTATTAGCGTGTTCTGCAGTATTGTATGTAATTATTATTGAGGAATATGCATTTTCTGCGAAAACAAATCTTTATTCCAAAACATAATATTATTTTTTATTATTGACAATTTTTATGCAAAAACTAACATTTTTATTATTTATTTTTAGGGGTTTTATTACGCTTTTCGGGTAGAAAAGGATAGTAAATTTGTAGGAATTTCCTATAAGTAGAATCTTCTCTCAATACCAAAAAACAAAGCAAGTTTTTGCCTACATTGATTACCTTATTATTATAACTACAGGTTGTTGTCAGAACAATAAAAAACCAACGGTTCTAATACAGAAATGTAATTAAAACCGAAATTATCCTGCGATGTGAGAGTATTAATTATTTTTACGTTATATTTTTATTAATGAATATGTAATTTTCATAGAAGGTATTTACGACGCTTCGATGAAATGCATATTAATTAGTTAAATTATTAGGACAACGTAACTCATCAATAAAAAATAAAGTAATAGTAAGTAAAATAAATGCATAACTATGAGCCGATATTTGTTGAAATAGAAGTTTATTATGTTAAGTTCATACTGGTTCGATAATAAACCTACATTCATTTTATTAGGAAAATGCACTCGTGATCATTACACCTTTTCTTTTTGTAACTTTTTTTATAATAATCTTTTCGTGTTCGAGTTTGTGATCATTTTTTTTTTGAAAAAATGAAATCTTTTTCATGTTAGAATTATGTATTTGTTTGACATAAAAGAATTAACTATTTATTAAAGGCTTTTAGAATAATTAATAATTAACGCCAATAATAATAAGAAAGAAAATGAGGTCTCTTTACAATATTTTACTTTGTAAGATCAATGTTTCGTCTTAATTATGGGAAGGGTGTTATTTTGGTATATTCAGAGCTGGTATAAGAGGGCATATGTAATTTGATATTATAAGACTGTCTCTTGCTTGTTCCACTCTAGTAATTATATCCGCTAGTCTTAATTAGTATTTCTTGTTTAATTTCCACATTAGAGATGGCTCAGGGCTGAGAGAAGGGACTTGGCAGTGAGAGGGTTGGCATATCCATATGACCTCTACTCTCCACCCCCTCCGGCAAACTACGCGCTTCGCCGGTCCTCCGTCCTCCGACCCCGTTTCGGCATATGTGGCTTTAATTAAAAGTGGTCGCCGTTGAAACAAATCCCTGCTGGGAAACGGTTTTCCCTTACCAGATGGGAAAAGTATATTCAACTCTCACCGACCCACCGAATCCCTCTAGGGCCCTTTCTTAATAGAACAATTAGGTCAAAACGAATAACTTTCCTACTTTTCGAATACTTTTCGTTGGTCAAGTAACATATCGTTTATGATATGGTTTGACCATCAGTGAAAAATGATAAAAAAAATCTGTTCAATGTTCTTTTTCAATGAAAATGAAAAGAGACGTCAGTTTAACGTGTTAATGTTTGCAATTCATTAACGATTTCAGACCGTGTACAAATTATAACTCTGGTTTTTTGTTTTGGTTTTTTTTTTAGCAAGCATATTAAATTAAAATGTTTTACCTTAAGTGAATATTTTTAACGCACATAAAGGTTATATCGCATTTTTTAATTACGGGCTTGATTACATTTATGTAAGGATTTTCTAAGATCTGAAGATTCGTCTTTTTGTCCTCTTCATTTTTCTTTTTCAATGAAAATCCCTGTATGTAGAAAAGTTTTGTTAAAATTAAAAAAAAAGGAAAACCTAAAAACAAATTTATCTGTCTGTTACACAATTCATTTATCATTTTATTTTTAATTGGTAATATTCAGTTATTCATGTAATGAAAAAATCCTGTCATCAACAAGAATTAAATTTTCCCTTTCAGTTAGAACGTTTTTTTCACGATACAATTTTTTGTTGTGGAAGTGTGGAATCTTTATGAAGGTCACTCGCAGCATTGTGGTGGACTAAACCTCAACAAAACGAGCTACACAATAAATACAAGCTAGTGAGTAAAAAAGCTGGCCAACCTATCATCACAAGGGTATCATAATGACTACATTATCAGCCGGGAATCCACTTACCCAATGCTAGGCTATGCGACGCTACCCGACGCCTTGCCACATTTTGGTAGGGTAGGATTGGGCAGATGTCCACGGGGGTAATACAATCTTATGAAAAAATGGACTTTGGATTTGCGTCGGGTAGCACCGGGTAAGTGTGTTCCCGGCTTTAGAAACACTAATAATCCGACTTCCATTGAAAACATATATACAAGTAGAACCTAGAAAAAGCTCATACCGACTCCAAAAACATTTTGATGGGGCTAAACATTTCCGGCATACAAAAATTACAAGTAAAATTAAACACCCATTCCTAGAATTGTGGACTGACTGTATGATCCGAGAAACATGCTTTGCAACATCCTATGAATTTCAAACGTACTACAAATGAGTAGAAATAATGAGAAGATAATGAATACAATTATTTAGTATACAGATAGCTCCAAAAACATCTTATGGACAGACGTAAAATCATTAGTCCGGTAACAGGTAACATTCAAAATAGTCAGGGAATGCATCCAAAATCTATACAACTTAGGAGAAATAACAACCTGACATTAACTTGGGTGCCAGGGCACAAAGGACATGCCATTCGGGAGTAATGAACAAGTAGACAAACAGGCCAGAGGAGGATCTGCAAGATCATATACCCACAGACCTAACACTTGTGATAACAAGGTCAAATACAGAATTCTACTCATCTCATAATGGGTTTACAAAAAGTAAGACTAAAAATGGGCCATGTCCAAATGTGTGAAACACAGTAAAACAAGGAATGAAGGAACCTCACCAAAACTTGCAAACAGACTTTAGCAGTGTAAACTAAAAAGAGTGATAAGAGTGATAAATACCGGTCACTGTCATCTGACAAATGACATGGGTACATTCTATGATGACCCCTATTAGTAAATTAGCAATAAGGAAGATGAAACTGTCATCCATATCAGTTTCGAATAGAAGTATCCTTTCAATGGTGTATCAATAAAAACTGGGAAAAAGAATTGCAGCAATGACAGTAAATAAACTACTAGGATCGAGTCAATTGAACAGAAAAGAAACAGGAAAAGGAATGTAATAAGGCAGAAAGCTACACTGCTTGGTGAATTCCCCTTCCGAATCACTCAAGTATTTCCTTATCATAGTCATCATCATTTTAAAATAGTGAATTTTTAAAATTCTTCAAAAATCTTTGTTCAAATCAAAAATTTGTTTAAATTTTGTAGTTTGTCCCAGTAAAACGGCGATCGGGCTGAAATGAACTGATCATTATTTAGACAGTGTCACGAGAGGGATTCGAACCCACGACCCACGAACCCAGGGGTTGAGATGGGAAGTTGGTGTCCGAGTGGATCGAAGTCACGATAGCTCAAGTGGTAGAGCAGCGGTGTATTTAGCCGAAGATCGTGGGTTCGAATCCCGCTCGTGACACTGACTTTTTATCTCAATCAATATCTTACATAAATATTAATTAATTGAAAGAAGTTATTTGGTCAATCGAAGCACAAAATCTAATGGATTATTTAGACAGTTTAAAGTGCATTAAAAAATGATCTCTCTCTTTTAATAATAAATGCATACGTAACGGAGAATAATACAATATTTTGTGACAAGTCCGTTTTCAAAAAAAAAAAAAAAAAATAAGTTTAAAAAATTGTATCTCTCAACAGATTGAGTTCGAAACCCGTTTGTGCAGTATTTTTTTTAATTTTCAGACTAATATCACCCAATTATTTATTATTATTTATTCTCATCGCGATCCCCCCTGTATATTAATATTTAGTTTGTATTCGATGGTTTATAACCAGAGGTATTAATGAGAGGCAAGGCTGTGGGTTTAGTGTACATATAAAATTAGAGTTTCACTCTCTCTCTCTCTCTCTCTCTCTCTCTCTCTCTCTCTCTCTCTCTCTCTTTATGAAGTATTTATTTTGTCAGTTATGTATGGTGTTCTTAACTGTACAAATTTACTTTTATGAGATCAGATTGATATTAATAAATTATCTAAAGGGATAAACTTACATCTACTTGCACTCCTGGAAGAGGAAATACCCTGGTGGGAGGAGATTCTTTTGGCACGAATCTGTAGAACTCCTGTTCACCCAAATAAAACTTGATAGAGTAGAGCTGGGCCCCCTCCAAATCGTACTCACAGACCAGTTGTAGACTCTGGCCAGCACGTACAGCACTCGGTAATTTCAGCACGACTCCTTTCAAGCAAGTGGTATCTGAAATAAGGGGAAAAACATTTTAGAACTCACAACGACAAAGCAAATTATGTTTATAGTCGTGATAAATAAAACAATTTGCATTTTATGTCGCCTGAATGTGCTAGAAAGGGTTTTTTCGTTTGACGAAATCGTAGTCTGCAATGATATAATATACTATCACTTTTCCAGAGGTAAAGTAAATGGCATCTAGGTGAGCTTAATTTTAGTCGGATAATATGCAATGTAAATCAACGGCAGCCTGAATATTCAAACTACAACGGTACTCTGAAGTAATGTTGGTTTTAAAACAACTACCTGTAGGTTATGCACAAGCGAAATGACATTTGTAATAATTTAAATATCTGAGCTAATTGGTATTGATTATAATCAGGTAAACATTATCTTGGTTCTAGCATAACTTATTCCACTCTCTAAACTAATTGGTTGTTCGATCCACTTAAAACGACTCACATTTCCTTTATTCGTATTAAACCCGTCTTCCCACTGTGACTTATGATTTTGTGTGGTGTGTGCGTGTGCGTGAGAGAGAGAGAGAGAGAGAGAGAGAGAGAGAGAGAGAGAGAGATAGAGAGAGGGACGGAGGGAGGGAGGAATGTAAAAACTTACTATATTTGTTTTTTGTTACATTCCCCTCGAAGTTTCGTTGTCAGAATAATTATTATGGTTTTTAATTATTAAATTAAAATACACTTAAGCTATTGACAAAGATGTTGATGCCCTAGTTAATAAATTATTTGTCAAAATTTTATTGAACAGTATTTTGAAATGGCGCCAATTTAAGTGCAAGGGAGTATATGATGAGCCGGTGATTATCCCTTTTTATCTAATACAAGGAAACACTGGAAGCGGCTTATCTCCTATTCTTCCAAAGGTAGTTCATCATCGATTTTAAATGGCCAATAGCTAATGTACCGGACGAACTCGGCCGACAGCCAAAAGACCACGGACGAAGAATATGAAAAACAAAATCCCTCTCAAAATTCTACCCATTAAAAAGTGGGACTACAAAAATGGACTAAAAAATGGGAGCCAACCCGCTCTGAAAACTGAGCGAAAACAATATAAATCAAAATATATTTGAAATGTAAAAAAAGAGGAGGAAGAGATGGTTCTCTCTCAATGTATATTATAACACGTAAATGTACTTTACGGTAGTACATTACCGTTATATTGTAAGCGAATAATGAGAATCATTTTAATTAGCCAACCAAATTTTAAATAAAAATGTTATCTAAAGGTGATTATAATATTAAAATTGTAAAATATAATATAATATTATATAAAAATTATAATATTAAATTTAATAGTTGTACGTATAATGTATACGGTCCAATTTTTTAGAAACCTTCAACATTTGTGAACAAGGTGTTTGAACAATTTTTACAAATATTTATTTAGAAATCGTGAGATGCGGTCTGGTGTGATGAAGGTTTCAGAAAAACATTTTCTTTATCGTGCCAACGTTTCGATCTTTATTGAGATCATCTTCAGGGCCTGGGATTTACAAACATTGTTTACGTATAACAATTTCATTTTGGATGTGGAAAAGTGAATTTATACAATGCAAAATATATTTTTTATATATTCAATCAAAGTATTTCTACTCACTCAAAGTGTTTGTCTTCTGTGTAATTGTGCCATTCTTGCGTGTCGTGTTGAGAGTGCCAGGGAGATTTTGCTGTTTTATGTTTATATACGTTGGATTTTGAAGGGGTGGGGAAGGAAGTCGGTATAGAAAAGACATTTAGAAAAGACACAAGAGAGACATTTAATTTTTGTATAAGGCGTCGGCTTCTTTGAGGTGAAAAAGTGAAGGGAAAAAATGTGTTGGTAATGGTTCGGCCAGATTATCCTTTCAAGATTGTATAGAAAGGGATAAATAGGAAAAGGAAAGCTAAATTGTTGGGAAATTCAATATCGTTAATCAAATTCAATACAGATAACATAGCTATATCATCACATTACATTCCACACATCAAATATTTTTCACATAGTCTAATTTCCCAACAATTTCATTTGTCGTCGAGAATCCAATCCGATTACACGACATTTTAAAATTGGCAAAAAGGAGGAAAAATTCAAAAGGTGGGTTTGAGATGGGAAGTTAGTGTCCGAGTGGATCGAGGTCACGATAACTCAAGTGGTAGAGCAGCGGCGTATCTAGCCGAAGATCGTGGGTTCGAATCCCGCTCGTGCCCTTGACTTTTTTATCTCAACCAAAAGCCTTAATTAATTGTAATATATTAATTGGTCAAGCGGACCACGAAATTAGTGAATTTAAAGATCGAAACGTTGGCACGATAAAGAAAATGTTTTTCTGTAACCTACATCACACTAGACCGCATCTCACGATTTCTGAATAATCATCGACTAACGATCACTAATCACCACACATAAAAAATATTTGTTTGCATTGTATAAATTCACTTTTTTCCACATCCTACATGTACTGTTAAATTTAAACAATGTTTGTAAATCCCAGGCCCTGAAGATGGTCTCAATAAAGATCGAAACGTTGGCTTTATCGTGCCAGACTGATTGTTTTTCCCTATAATTTTCTATTTGATAAATGACTGAAATAAGAATAAATGACATTTCATTAACTGACTTTTTTACAAATAGCATAACAAAAACTGAATATTATGTGGTATTCCAATTTATATATTTTTTACATAATATAAAGGGGGTTTAAAGGAGTATACATAAACAGTAAACGTTCTTTGGATTATTGTTTATATATTTTTTATGGGCTTATTTATTGCTTATACGTTAAGCCAGCAGGTATACTAACAAAGATAATTCTTGTATAGGCGGTACGGTCAAATATTCTAGGAGCGTCGGTGGGAATTGAACCCATGACCTCAAGGTCTAGAATTGATGAACTAAGTGATTAATGTACATGAAATTTTGTTATATTGTTTTCCTTTAAAATATACTTAATATTTTTTAAAATTATTTTTCTCTTATTTAGATGTTCTGTAAGTAATATATAGACACTATATACCTCCTGGTTTTTATGTTATTTTTTTTCAATACCTTGTAATTTAGAGTAATTAATAGGCGTGTAAAGGAAACGAATTTGTGTAAATGGGAGGAAAACAGACTTGTTTCTTTTCCCCGTGATTTAATTAAAAAGTTTGTACAACCCCCATTGTTAGGTAAGTCATAATGAACCGCGGGAACTCTCGGTGATCTGAAAGAGAAATTTTCCAATGATAATTTGCTTTCAAACTTTGTCTTATTGCACATCACGCAATTATGTTTAAAAAAAAGTATAATCCATGGAGACCATGGTGATGATCAAATGTGTTATTTAACAGACGCTGATTACTGGGTCCGTGTATTCTCGTTGGTTTCCGTTTTATTTCATAAAGACACTCACTTCCCTCGTCGAGCCTTCAAGAAGTACACCTTCTCGTTTGAAAGGGCAACAATTTTTTAGGCATTAAGAATCAGACTGATGGATAGAGTTTTAGACTGTATCGTGATATAAGAAGGTAAATTTATTAAAAACTCGTCGAGGGAAGTGAGTGTTGATCTTTTCGATCGTTCTTACCCCTGGTTATATTTTAATATAAAATTGGCAACATGATTTTTTTGTTGATCTTTGTATCTGTGACAACTGGAGAAGAGGAATAAGATATGAAGTATTTTTAGTTTTTTGAACTGATCGAAACTTTACTAGGTCCGCTTATTCTCGCTGGATGTGGTTTAAGTTCACCATCTGTTATGCTGGACAACAGCAAAAATTAAAAATAGCATTGAATTAGTATAAGATGAAAATTAAAAGCATGAAAATCACTCAGCCGAATAATTAAAAAAAAAATTGTGGCCTCGCACGTCCATCGTCTGTTAGAAAAGAGCGAACTTGCACGTTAGTCTTCTTGAAGAGAACCGCGAGAAATGATTAATCGGTGAATCCAATTTTTTTATTTCACTGGAGCGGATTAACTCCCGTTGGCCGAGTAATTATCGAAGACGGCGAATCATCATTGTCGCGCCATCTTTGGATGCGGCGGAGAAAGTTCGACCGAGCACCGTCTCCTATGAGGAACCGTGAATATGGCGTGAAACGGAAACGCGTATGAATGAAACCAACGAGCTTAAACGAACCCAGTGAAGTGATCAATGTCGAACAGTTCAACATGTGTCGATTTATACCGTCAGACCGACCAACATCTCCAACCTATTGTTGAAGTTTTTAATTTGCCCATGTTAACACAAATTATCAATCAAAATTGAAGGATAGATTTCAATCGTTGAGTATTGATTATGGACAATTTTGGCCTGCGGTTTGTTCCTTATTCTCAAGTGGAATGGGAGGGGCTCATAAAGGCGTGGATGTACATAAACGAGATAAAACCCGGTTCCAAACAGTCAGCACAACTTTCTCAATAACACTGACTCCTGTTTACCTCGGAGCGAATCTCTTAAACCAAATTCTTAGACTTGAAATCACAATCTTCCGATTGCCTTCGTCCCCATCTGGTTAAATGGAATGGTTTTGTTTTTCCTCCCGACAAGTTATATAAGTAGATAAAAGATTGGGAATTTTTGTTTCTTTTATATAGGCAGTAAAACGGAGTGGTCATATTATAAATACGTTTCAGTCAAAGAAGGGCTAAGTTTTTTCTGCTACATATTGATCTCAAGCTTATTACTCTGGATAACCTGTCCTTCTCTTTGCCGAACTCTCAAAAGGAGTAGGCAGCAAAGGACGTGGAATATCGCCCCCGGGAGCCTTTAGACCAACTTTATAAGTGTTTTCCTTTCCCTATAGAAAGGGGATGAGAGTTGTCTATGGCCGTGATATTTAAGAGAAGTTTGGACTTCAGGCGACTTTATACCGTCTCTGGCCAGTCAAGGTTGAAGAAAACACCTCCTTTTAATAAATAATTCAGGTATTTTTCTGTCGTTCGTCTGCACAAAAAAGGCCCTGGAGAAAGTCATTTGGGGGTATTAATTCGTGGGGCTGTCTAATCGATGCTAAGTGATCCTACTTCC